TCCGGCCCGCTGCGGTGCAGCGCAGGGTGGGGACCCCCGCGGGGCGCTGCGGGGCACGGCCGGATCCTCGTGTGCCCGCGGAGGAGAGCGCGGAGCGAGAGCGGTGACGAATTCCCGGGGAATTCCGCTGGATGCGCGGCGCTGCGGTGGCGCCGCCCGCTCCAGGCCTGGCGCTTCGGGCCAGTGGTAAGGGACCTTTTCCATCGCTTCTTAAAGTAGGTTGGAAATGCCCCCCTGCGGTCTCGTTCCTGCAGGAAGAAATAGGTCTGTCATTTCCGTAGGGAAATTAAAATTCGAGTTGCGGTTATTTTAGGAATATTTAGTAGGTTTGTGTCACTTTTATAGTTCAATAAGCTGCTGAAGCCGAGCGCAGCCGGAGCCGTAACTCATTGTCTGCCGAAATTTTACACCACAGCAAAAACTCGGGCAGAGTTGCTTTCATAACAACACAAATCCCCGCATGCTGTTCAGGGGAGATAGAGCTGCCTTTCCAAAGAGTTACAATCAAAGGATGAAAATAAATATTTTTTTTTTCCTACAGAAATTGTAAATACTTGGTAGAGTTACTTCTCAACTTCCCGAAGCAATTCTCAATTTGTTTTTCACGCCGGTTATGGTGCCGTTCCTTTATGAGCAGTACAGAACATCAGCATAAGGCTCCCTCCCTCCCTGTCTGTTTCGGCAAATTCTGCTTTCACGTAAGAACTCACGTGGCCCAGTAAATTCATGGCATAATGCGCGCAACTCCTGCAGTCCATAGCACTCAGTATTCAAGGATCATTTCTGAGAATTTCACTTTCAAACAGCAACGATTTAGTGCGATGTTCCAATAAATATTACAATAAATTTTAGAGAAACGGATCGTTCTTTATTCGTGTATGCAACTAAAAAAAATTTCTGTGTTTTCAAACCCTGACACTACAGAAGAGAGAGCTGCAATGTCGTGTGCTGTCTTCCTGGTGAGCAAAGAGAAACGCTGATGGAGAACTCTCCGCATGGCGCACATGCAATTAGCAAAGGTCTCTTCATCAACCAGGAGCATGCACAGGAAGCTTGAGTGGTTGGACAGGCCAGTAATTAAGTTAATTAATTTGTTTCTGCAAATCTAGAAACCCAAGCAGTGAAAACCAGTGGCCAGTCCGTCTTGGGCAGTAACAATGTCTGGCGTAACCTCGGCTACTTCCACCCTACCGCACGCCAGGAGTGGCTCTCTGAGAACATTATACAAGCAAGCAAGACAAGACTTAGAGGAAGTGGTAATACCCTTTATTAAACCAACTAGGATGGCTGGCAAAATTAGGATTTCAAGTACATAAAATATCCTTCTTCAGTGGAAATAGAATAATCTTTCTTCTATTCTTCAAACAACACAAAAAAATTAAGGTCAAATACAGGTTGGAGTCAATTGCTCAGAGTTGAATCAGATACGTATGACATCGTTTTTGAAGTAGAGGCCATTCCTGCAGACGAGAAGGGATGGTAAAAGGAGGCAACAAGGAGATGGTAAGCTAGTTACATCCTTGAGGAAAAGGAAAAGGTGGCAGTTTCTAGCCCATGGGACATTGATGGGCTAGTAAAGGAGGAGAGGGAAGGGAGGGTCTGTGCAGGAGCACCAGTATTGAGCTGTGGGTGCTGATACCGGTATGTGTACCCACAGACCTTGCCCATCCTGCAGACCAGGCCATCAGAGCCGCACCTTCTACTGCTTTATACATGTGCCTACCTGAACGGAAACCAGCAGTCAATGAGTACCGTTAGATACATGCACAGGACAGTAGAGCACATCTGGCAAAGATGACTGTTTCGAGGGCTGAAGATTTGCTCAAGAAACTTGTTGCTACAAGCAGGATGTTTCACAATCTTTGCTTTAGGCAGTTTTTGCATGTCCCTGCATGGTCCGTGGTGTCTTTGACTGCATGTTAAAAGAAGTCTGCATAAAGGCAGCGCAAGCATTTTGCTAAGTACCTTCATCTTTACAGATTCTAGGAACATCGGTGTAAGACTTGCCTGGATTTTTTCTCTCTTGCCCTTGCAGTCTTTCTGAAGTACATGTTTCCCCACCATAAGAGACTCAACTGTAAAAGAAAACCACAGCCTGGGCTGCTGGGGTAGAAGTGCAGCCCAGCACAAAGATAAGCAGGTTTCACTGTTGCCATCTCACCCATCTCTGTGCCAAGCAGGTCTCAGGACAGAACAGGAGAAGACCGCTGTTACTGATACGCGTAGCCAACGTGTGTGCAGTGACGCCTGCAACAGAGTAGACAAGGAGCGTGCTTTGTGGTATTATTTATTTAGGAACTGTGAGTAACTACAGCCGTAGCGTTCTCATCTTTGCAATTCTGATGGTTTAACAAACTGGGAGCACATTAGCATATTTTTATTAAGGTACAAAATACACCCCGTTGTTGCCTAAAACATTTGAAAAAACGTGAGAAAAGCTCTGTATGCTCTAAATCAGATTCAAAACCTTTCTGTATAAGGAATTGTGGCAATTCTGTGTTTAGTATAACAAGAGGTTTTTATCAATGGAAAAGGAAGAGACATGCTGGCGATCTGAACTTAGCAACAGAGTAAAGCAGTTAAAAACCATCGTGTCATCCACATCAGTTCAGCTTTGAATGTAGAAGAGCAAATCATATGAAACACATACACAACTGGGTAGTATCAAACAACCTAAAGTTGATAATGTACACACCTGTATTAAAGTACACTGACTACTTAAAGGTGAGGAGTTAAGGTAATATTTGTTTGTTTTTCAAAGAGGTAACCTTTGAAATGCAAATGGTTGCACTTTACACACAAAAAGTGGAAAAGAAAAAGAATCACTTTTGGAATGATACATAGATATAAGACACACTGGTTTTGGATTATGCATGTCACCTTGCAGCCTCCGATATTACCTCTGAACGATAACAACAAAAAAAATAAAAAGTGCCAATACTGTGAAAGGAAAGCAAAGTTACTAAGTCTGAGTGCATTAACCATTTCTGAGAAAGAAAACTGGGTTTTGGATTTGTTTTGTTTTGTTTTGTTTTCCTGCATTTTTTAAAAACGCAACAGCCTTACTGGTGCAGGTTCAAGACAAAAACAAGACAGTCAAGCTCATAAAGTAGCAATAGGTCCTATATAGGTTAGGATTCTTTGGAAACTGCTAAGTATAAAGGAGTTTGTAATCCAGGCTACTATCTTTTTGGCTACTCCAAAAATCTGTGGGAGTTTCCAGCTTATCATCAGTTGAAATCTGTTTTGCAATCGCCAAATAAATGCAAGAAAACTTTAACCTGGGATTCCATTCACACACATGCACATAGAAGTCACCGATTGTGCAATAACCTGTTTTTTTTTTTCACAGCAACATATATATGAATCATAAGCCATTATTAGACTGACCAGAACAACAGAAAATGTTCTCAGTCTTTGTGTTTTCAGTCTGTTTCTTAAGTAGGCAGCTGTAACTGCGCTGAAGTGGCAGGTTCTATAAGGGAAAGGTGACAAGGAGTGATCAGCTGGTTAAAAGCAAGGTCAGAAGTATCTCAGGACACCACCTGGATGTTTGACTTTAGCCAGTATGACGATGGCACTAACAGCGCACTTAGAAAGGGCAGTAAATGCGTGTGAAGTTAGGACGGTGAAATTCTTTTAAAACAAAGGAGAAATGAAACACACCAACACCAAAATCACAATGCTGGCTGTGTCAGACCTTCCCTTATAGAAGATACTGCTCAGGGAGCAGACATTTTCTTAGGACTGGAGAGATTCACTGCGTGTCAGGCAAACAATTCCTTCTAAAGTAGATCTTGGGGAGCCAACTTAGCTGCAATTTTGGCTGAGGAGAGTGATGGTATAGAGCAATGAGCTCAGTAAATAGACTTTTTCTTTAAGGCGTTCAGAATATAACTATAGACTTGTTTTCCACACATTTAATTTTCAAAACAGACTGGGCAACTTAGCTGATGGCTTGCTTAAAGTAAATCCAATCATGCTAGCAAGTTAAAATTGCCTGCTGATTTAAATTAATGCCCATATATAAAAAAACAGGTATCAACTGATCATGCTGAAAAAACAACCCCCCAAAGACCTATGTATCACACAAGGTGCTTTTGATAACTTGGTTTTCTGAGCCTTAAAAGGAGAGTCTTTAAATAGATCTTTTTCAATTTTTTTTTTCTTTGAGCCTTGTTTCATTCTTCCTCCTCCTCATCTTCATCTTCTCCTTCTTTTCCCATTGTTTCCACAAGGAGTTCTGCGGTGCACGTGGCTTCCCCAAGGCTGTTAACAGCTTTGCAGGTGTATTTGGCATCATCGTCCCCACATACTTCAGAAATAGTCAAAGAACAGTTCCCATCCTCATCGTAATCTATCTGGAAATGACGGGACTCCTTGACAGGCTGATCATCTTTGTACCACATCACCTCAGGGTCGGGGTAGCCTGCGATGGTGGAGAGAGAACAGCAATTGCAATCAACGAGTATTAACCAGTCTGTAATTACTTCAAGCATTTATTCCACATCTGTATATGGACACGCTGCTATGTTGATACATAAATATTTCATTGAATTCGATTTAAAATAAATATAGATGATCTCAGGCTTTTTTTACTTCTCGTTTACCCAAAATGACTTTATTATGAATAGCAAAAAAATGACAGACAGCACTGAGGTACTCACTCGAGTCCACTACTTTGGCAGTGACTGCAGACACCTTTTCCTGTGTCTCGGGTATCGGCCACCAAGGGACTCTTAGTGGCGTACTTGAGGCTTACCTTACGTTGCAGCTTTTGTGGAACCCACAGTTCCCAACAGCAAGATTTAGAATTTCAAGAGTAAGGTGTTTTGGGCTACAACTACAATTTAATATCCTCCTCAGGTTGCTTTGTTGTGGCTATTCCGAATCTTCCTCCTCCTAATCTGCTCCTTACACACCTGCCTGTCCTGTACGGTGACCGTGGCACTCTCATTTCCTATTGGTGTTTGTTGGGATAAGTGAGGGAGTCTAAGAAAAACATTTTGATTATGCATCTCAGCAGGAGTTCTGGAGCCCTTTGTGAAGCAAAGGCTCTGCTACACTCGAAGCATCCAGAGCAGGGCTGTACAATGCGTGCTGGAGAACAATCCCTTATACAGTACTCTTGGCTGCTATAACAAATTGAAGGCTTGTTGTCTCAGCCAAGTTCTGGACTGTGATGGGAGGATGACTTCCTACTGAGCAGAAATAAAGTGCAGGAATCCTTAATACACAACGACCGTTACAGTGATTCACTGGAAATTTTGAAACATCAGCCGTGGTACATCCATTGATTTTATTTCATGCAGTACTTGTGCACATACCCCTCACGCTGAGCATCCATCAGCAACAATAATCCATCCTCACATCTCCGCTGTGAGGTAGGAAACACAGGCAGTGAAAGAGATTAGGAGCACAGAAACAAACAAGCAGAAGGTCAGTGAAGCAGTTTCTGAACCTCGTTTTAAGATTAGAAATTGTCTAACTCAAACACATGCAGTATGGTATCGACTCCATCCATTTTTTTTAACAGCTCTGCCTAATTTCTCGCTTTCCTTAACAGCTGCAATACAGATGGTTCAGTCTCATCGCAATAGAAGTGCTAGCGGTCTTGGCCTTCAGACTGTGGGGCTGACCAAGCCCAAGCTCCTTAAACACTTTCTCATAAACTTTTATCTATATATTCCAGTCAGAGTTTTCTTTCTTGAACTCGCAAGTCAAAAACCCCACAACAATACCGTATTTTCTAGATGTGACTTTTGTAACCAGCGCAATGATATTATCATTACTTCTCACACAGATACACTGTTAGGGACTCCTTTGCCTTTAACACAATGTATGTGTGGCTTAAAGTTATCTTGAGGTCACCTGAAACTTTTCTGGCATTTCAGACAAGTGAATGCCTACGAATTCTTGGTTTCTGGTTAGCAGTCTCCCAGAGTGTACTCTTGCAATTTGTGGTACTACATTGGATCTCATTTTTACCATTTCTACACTCAAAAATCATCTTACTGTTCCCACTTGGCTATCCTGAATTAGTCATTCAAACATTGACTCTCGGAGACTTCTGTTCTATGGCAAGCACAGAACAAGCCCGTGCAGCTCCAAATAATTTCTGTTATTGCAACATTTTCATGCTGTGACATGCAGATATTGGTAAACCAAAATGGCACCAACTCAACAATAATACATTAAAAAAAAAATAGAAACAACAGCACAATGCAGAAAGCTGGCAAGGAAGGAAAGAAAGAATCAGCTACGCAAATTCAAAGTACCTTCAATTTTGCAGTCAAATCTAGCAGCACTTCCTTCTACAACCTCTATGTCAAGGATTGTTTTAGTAAAATATGGCTTTACATGAGGCTTTTCTTCAGCCACTTCTTCAAGGAAAGCATCTGGAGGAGAGTAAAGAAATAGTTAATTATTTTACAGGCCATGTTCTCAAAAGATGCATTTTAATTTTTAATTACCAGATGGTAGGTAAAGCATCTTTTATTTCACTTAATTCTGTAAGGCTAATAGGACAGTGAGGACGTTAGCTAGTAAGTTTTGTGCCAATCTTTCGCAGCAGGACAAAGATTCAGACCATAAATAGAATGAAATCAACATGCAGGCCACCACGCTATGAATCATCTTTACTTTTTCCTTGAATTTGTTTCTAACCAAACCTGGATTTTTGCTAGTCAGAGGGGTAAACCAGTTCCAGTTGTATCAGGCTGACAATCTATGTGGATATGTCAGAATTACTTGCTTGATTTTCAGAAGTGTCAAACATCTGCGCTTCTGATTGTTGCACCCCACAAACCTACATTTCAAATGGGGGCATAGGGGAATGGTGTAGGCACATTATTTTTGTTCTTAAACGCCTGCCCGAGGAGCATGGCTAAGGCAGAGCACACGTCTTGGTTACAGCAAGCGTTAATACGTTATTGCTTGCTGGCTTGCACGGGAAGGCAGTACAGCACTCCAATCTTTGTATAAACACACAGTCCCAAACTGACAGAAAGTGCAGCCGACAAATCTGCCTTAATTCTTTGGCTTTAAAAAGAGAAGAGTTTACTGCCCATATTTATACTGGGGCATTTTGAGTAGCAGAACAATACGAGAAAAATGAATTTTTGATAGATTTCTTTAAAAAAAAAAAAAAGGAACAAAGAGAGAGAGAGCGCGTGCGCAGGAATAACTAACTTAACGATTGATCTCTAGAATTTTGCTAAAAGTTTTAGTAGGATTCACAAAGAGGTAAAAATACGGTGCAGAAAAATTCCTTACCTTCGTTCTCTACTTTGTCTGCATTTATAGGGCTGGTAGGCGAGCTCCCAGAGGCCTTCCTCCCACTCATACCAGAAATCATTGCCATGGACGACAGCCTTCCTATTGCTCGGACAGCATGGCCTGTTTTCTAAGACATAACATAAAAGGCTTCTGATCAATCCAATCCAAAAGGCATGTGATTTTCTGTAACAATCGTGCTTCGGACAAATTATCTGGGATCTCCGCAAACCTCGCTGGAATTGTTGGACAAACTGCTTATATATAGCTCTGTTGTTTTAGGAGAGACAGAGCAGGCTGGTCTGAATTACCAAATTTAGTTGCAGATATAAACTTCCCCTGATGAACTCATACCTAAATGAATGTCTCTGGTAGCTGCGGATAAAAAGCACTGTGTGAGAGGAGGGCCAGCAAAGAGCTATGTCCTGTTTAACTGGAACTCTGCTCTGGTGGCGGACGGCTCTTTCCATAGCCGTATGGGCTGGACTGAGTTTCATCAAGGATGAATAACCAGCTAATATGAAATGAATGAGAAAGTACCATCTGCACGATGGAAGCAGACCTCTGACAGGCTCGAGAATCAACCACCAGGATACTAAAATATGCTCAAACTACGTTGCCTCTAGTACGGATACTTGTATTTTAGCACAGCTTGCATAAGCTCCTAAGAAACACAGACAGTAGAATACAAGAAGAAATATAAAGTAGATTTACATAAATGAATATTTTGTAGGCTACTGAAAAGGCTGAATCCAGGATTTTATACCTCAACTGCCCTAGCTATCAGAATGGCACAGATGGACCTGCTACAACAGTTCCAGCATTAAGAAAAAAGAAGATATGGAGACCAAATACATCAAAGAAAATCATTAAACCAATCTGACCAAATCCATGAGAAGCTTGGTGCTCCAACAGGACAGAACTACTGGCTTAGGAGAATGAAACTACCACAAAATGAGGTATCTTTCAAGAGGCCAAGTGGATAAGTGCTTCCCTAGCTGTTCAGGTTTGTTCAGGATAACATCATCCCCCAGCCCTCAGAGGCATGGAGAGGGCACAGACGGTCATACGCCCAGAAGAATAGGAAAAGTTATACTTGAACTCATACACCTTTTAGTAGCCTGAACTGGAATCCTCACGTGTTACATACATGCAGCTGTGCACCCTCCTACTGCTCGCCCGCAGAAACCAAACCTGCTTTGCTGCATTCGTCCTCTGGCCACGCTGGAGCTTTCACCAGCAGCAGAAACCAACCACCTGGCATGTCATGTTTCTCAGAATCACGAACAGTAGAAATAAAGAGACTTAGGAGGATAAGTAGCCCAGTTCTATGTCCTCTTTATTACCTGCCATTTTCTTCTGGCCATATATTTCTTCATCCTATCTTTGGAAAGTTTTTTGGCTTCCATGTTTTTGGTGTCTTTTTGCAGCCAAGGATGCTGAAGACACTGAGTACAATTGAAGCGACTCCTGTTTTTACACAAAAAGACTAGTCAGTGTTAACCATAGTTGAACCTACCTGCTTTAACGTTATTTTGCGCTCTCTTTTCTGAGAGCTGATTTTTCTGTTTCCTAAATTTAGCACCACAGATCACACGGCACTGCTTTCACAGCCGTGCGTGTTTCTTAAACTCACTTTCAGAATTTCTGTACCTTTTTTTTGAGAGAAAACTGTGCATTTTCAAGTGGTAGTAAAACATTATAAAACAAAGCACGAAAAGCCCAATGTTTTAGGCAGGAACACATACAGCAGAGCCACAATGGCAATGATTCAGCTACCTCATGCTGGCAGAACTGTGTCCCAGATCTCCTTTCCTTCACTTACAGAGATTTCCCCTTTCTCACCACTTAATATGCCCTCCTTCCCTGCAGCACTGAACGTTTAATGAAATAGAAATGTCCAAATCTCTAACTAAGTCACACCCATTCTTCACTTTTTTCATGGTACACAGATAAATAACCCTCTGTTCTCCATCCATCTGACTGCAAACTCATTGGAAGAAGCATGTTTTTTCCCCTTGGTTTGTTCAGAGTGCTGTAAACAGGGCTTCCAACTCTGATTTTTTATTTTCTTGCCCAATTACTAGATTTATAGGAAAGGTTCCTACTCAGAGATACCGCACTTACAAGCAACACATGGAAATCTGGCAAAATTGCAACCCATTCAGATCAAGACAGAACATGTCGTGCAGGACTGTGTGTGACAAGGTAGTGACGATAAGAGTAGCCACACAAAACCTCAGGGTGCATCTTGCCCAAGGGAAGGGAAAAGCAGAATGAGCAGGCGATTAAAAGCGAGGGCTCCATTCAGACCCTGCACCCTGGACGTAAAATAAGTGTGAGCTGCACACACAGACAGACGGCACGCAGAGCTCCTGATGAAGAACTGCCAGAGGCGCCTGCCTCAGCGTGGAGATTCACAGTGGGAAACAAGAATGACAAGTTCAGCTAAATGTAAACATAGAAAGTTTATCAAGTCCAACAGCTTTACTTCATATCTTTCTTTAGTAGATTGCTGATAAAGTCCTTGGCATCATCGGAGATTTCATCAAAAGCCTCATCATCGAAGTCCCACGTTGCTGAGGTAACATTGGCCAGGGTTTCGTTGTCGTTGTCTCCCATGAAAGGAGAAAGTCCGCTGACCCTGGGGACAGAACAGACAGACAGACCCAAACCAAACAGAGTCAATTTACAAATTACCAGAGGAGCAAATTAAAATTGTGTGTGACATCTCCTGTGCTCTGCAGAGCTTTATCAGTAAAAGCTCCCTTTAAAAAAAAACCAAAAAAACAAACTCAAAGCCAACTACAGATAGTCTGGGAAGGAAACTGGAATTTTGACTGCAAAACTGAAAGGAAAATTTTTGCTGTTTCTTTCTGTTTTTCCAAGACATTTTTGAGGAGAGAACTAGAATTAGGTGAAAGTGGAGCATACTAGTTTGTTAAATGACTTGTCTGGTTCTGCATAAATAATACTGAAATTTTCACACCAAATTCAGTTGAATAGATTTTATTTTTTTTTTCCTGGTTCCAGAGTGACTTTGCTGCCTTTACTGTCAAACCAAGTTTTTTGGTACATTTTATTCCATTTACTCCTGCAGAGAGAGCCCAAGAAGAAACGTGCATAAAATCATGAAATCCACAGGGCTATTTTGTAAATAAAACCATCCTGAATTATACAGCCAGATAAAACAGTGCTACATCACTGCGGGCTGTAGAGTTATGCAGATGCATCCAGAAGTAATTTGGTCTTTATGTTCTCAATCAGTCACGATGATGCATGAAATGGAAATAATACTCTTTTATAACCTAAGTGGAGCTTCCAAGGCTTTTTACTCAATATAACTGATAAATTGCCAGTGAAAGGCAATTACAGAACATCATGGTGTCTTTTTTTGCAGAGTATCTTTCTCCAGTTGAGCTTTGACATTTATTATACTGTACCTTTGGGCATTCAGATACTTTTGATTCCTGTATATATCACCCTTTCAGTAAAAACTTGCAGGTGAAAAGTTGCTTATTCCTTAGAACTACAAGTTACTCAGCTTTCCAGGTCTTCTTCCTGGCATGCAATTTACATAATAACTTACTCTTAATGAAATTTTACAGACTTTATTTGCTTTCTCTGTACAATCATGTTAACCAGTTACAATCACCACTTGCATTTCAACAGCAGTACTTTTTTTTTTTTTAAATATGGAAAAATAAGTGGAACTTATTAAGGTTCTGAAAATACTATATGGAAAACTATAGTGATGCTCCTGAGTATCACAGAATAGACTGGTAGAAAAAGAGATTGGGATCAAATAAATTGAGCTACTGGATTAATAATATTAGTATAATCTCCTCCTCCGAAGTTACTTTGCTACACTTTTGTTACTAATTACATTCAAAATCTGATTTGGAATTTGTTCCTAAGGATTTTACTTCTGCAAAGCAGAAACACACTCTTTGAAGCCTCAAACAAAGCAGATACTAAATCTTTTACCATTTCTGGAAGTTGCGTGCAGTACTGCAGAGTCTAGAATCTTACATGTATACTTCAGAAATTTGCTAGTAATAATACATGAGATGAAGATAAAAGGTTTGTTTCTTCTCAGGCAGAAAGAGGTAAATCAGAACAGAAGGTATTTGCTGTCTTACTTTCCATTATGTGGGGTGCATTGAAATGCAACAGTGAAGCCTGACTTTATAAATGTGTAAGGTGGCATAATCCCATTTATGAACATATAATAGGCGTGAGTTACAGCAAGCTGAAAGATTAACATACCAAAAAATGCTCACATAGAACAACTTTACCACGACTGGTCTCTGTTTTGACACTTACTTTACTGGAAGAGACAAGGTTTATGCCTGATAGAATTGGGGTAGCTGCTGCTTGATGAGAGACTCCGTTCTGCCCTCACGCACATCAGCTGTCATGGCCAGGTAAACCGGTGAAGCAAAATCTCTGTCCTGGAATCTGCAAAGCACTCCTGCACGGCCTTAAACCAATCTCCACTCCAATATTTAAGCTTTTTTCTATTTATGACAATGTCATTGTTCTCCATAATGTTTTAGAAAGTGAAAAAATCTCATCCAGACTGCAGCTTTAAGTTTCGGGTTCCGGATGCTGGTTTCTAAGTTGTCTTTTTTTTTGGACTATGTAGTAAGTACAATAATCTCTCAGCCAATTCAGCGGCTGCTGAAAAGGCTCACCTTTTTTACAAATGAAGGGTCTGGGAAGTATTTCTTTAGTTCACTGTCAATATAGGAGATGCATGTCTTCTCTTCGTCCAGTTAAGCTTCCAGAGGGCACACTTGGGCAGCCAGAGCAATAATGATCCCATTTCCCTTCAATACTTGATTGAAATATGGCAAAGGTGACCTCTGCATAGTATTACCACAAATAGTATTGTGCAGCTCTTGTGCTGCATTAGATAATATTTGGCCTATTTCCAGAGATTAAAGCTGCCCTATTGAGAGATCATTTCCATGCTAAAAAGACTGCTACAGACACAGAGACATTGCTTCAGGTGGAAACACCACTGCTCCCCACTGCCGTAAGAGGCAGTCCTTGTAAAGACATCTAGCTTTATGGGCAAAGGGATACTGTGTATCACACACAGCTTTTGAGGGATGAGGATAAATAGAAGATCAGAAAGGAAAAAAACTCTTTTGTTGTTTTGGTTGGCTTTTTTTTTTTTTAAGAACTGCATGACAGAATTCTCGTAGAAAATCTTAAATGCTGTGGTAGGATTGACCCATCCCATGCATTTGGCAAATTACCAGATTGGTAGTTTATTGGTTAAGCCTCTATTCACTTTGACATTTACGAATAGCAGTGTAACATTCAAATGTTTCAATGAACCTATTTCCGTATTTCTGAATGTGCTGTTGCAAATTTATAAGGCTAAAATAATTTTCTCTCTCTGCCACAGTTTTACACTGTGATTCAGTTGCCTTGCCATGGAAATACTTGTAAGGAGAACTAGGTCCTTGTCGATAGTCAGAAAACAAAATCCAGTGACTAGTGCAGATTATAACCACAGAGTCTTATCTTTAGCACAGATTTAACTGACCTAGGTCTTGGTTGCTCATTTCTTAATAGCCATGTAAAGTAATAATGGCCCAGCAACTCTTTTGACAGATTATGGAAACAATTTCCTTTTGGAATGCTGAAGCTAAGTGATAAAGATGAGCTACTGCTCCAGAAAATTAATACTGAACTTACACTGTGAAGTTACTATTAGACAAGCAGCAAGTTGTTTACTGAAAACATTTTTCCAGCTACTTAACCAGGCATCTTCCTGGCATGTTAAGAACCATTTGTTTAGAAAATCTTTCGTAGTTTCCACTTCTAAATAAAGAAGACAGATATTTTACCCTCTAGAAGTTCCTTAACATTTATTGGTCTGTTCTAACAAAGCTCTGAGTGCAGATTTAGAAATGTTAAGATCGAAAGTTAACTGAAAGTTGCCAGTGTCACTGCCTATGTAACAAACATCATAGCATTTCACTTGGAAATATTTGCATTAAGGCTGCCACTCATCCAGGAAAGATGAGTTTGCTGCATGTCTCAAAAAGTCAGGCTCGGAGCATTCCCCTGCACGCAGTGCTTGCAGCAGCAACTGATTTGGATGGATGACGCTGAGTTTCTCCTTACAGTCGTTGCATTGCGTTAGCATTAGCAGCAACAAAAGCAGCAAAAGTAGCAGATTTCAGTATGAAGACTACTGTCTGCTGCTGATAAACCTGTGCAGGTCATGTCAAATAAGCCCATGATAATGCCTGCACCCTGGAGATCATGTAGTAATTTAATTCTTTTACAAGTAAAATAAAACAAACAGTCTTGGGCTACTTTGTGGAGGACATGCATCCACTGGACAAAGCCACTTTTTCCTTAGCTGATGGTTGACTGACTCCATATCGGTTGTCTCAAGAAAGAGACAGACCACGGAACCCATGTAGAGGAAGACAGCTCAGGGCTGAAGCAAGGGTATTACTCTGTTCTCATCCTTGTTTTACGTGCCCAGTGAATTAATGAGGAATTACAATTTGCCGGTGCCACTGAACAAATAGTTAATTTTCCTTTGAGCAGTACAGTCACGACATTAAAAAACTCCAAACTTGCTTTATTAAAAGAACAAGGAGTGCTCTCTCATCTTTATATTAACAAGACTTAAATTTTAATACGACATGGAGTCAAGTGTCGGCCAGCATCCTGAGTGCCTTGCCTTCTCAAAGTCCCAAGTCAGCACACCCAGAAGACGAACGATGCCAAAAGATCTTTTAACCAACCCAAACTGACAAATAAAGGAGGAATAACAGCAGTAATGAATGACACAACAGATAAAAACGAAAGGGAACGTTTGAAGAATCGGGGTGCATGTTATTAGAAAGGCACTGAAGGAAAAAGAGTATACAGCAGGATCAAATGTGATATTAAAAAACAGCTTAAGATATAGCATATTAAAAAATTATTAATTGACAGAGATCGACTACTCTGAAAAAATACACACTGCCTAGCACTGATAATGCAAGAAGTATAGGAAATCAAGCAGAGGTTTGAATCAGCCACAGCCAATTCCTCACCAAAACTAGTCAGATTCTATGATGACAGAAGGAAAAAGGGTGTCTGCTTTCAATGTATGTACACGCAGCGCTGAAATCTTAGACAAAAATTTGGTTTGAAATAAAAATAGAATTTAGAAATTGTTTCAGATTACTAAATATTGGAAACACTGACTATCCAAAAGGATCATCAGAAAAGAACTAGAAGGAGAAAAAATAACAAATTCAGCAATGCCCAGAAGAACAAATGAGACAGAAAGAGCTGGAAAGAATTCAGGAGGTTTAATCTTAATTTGATAAAGATTACTGCAAATGCAAAAAGAAACACTGAAATAGACATAAATGGAGATGATATACACAAGCTATATTATTTGTGGCTTGTTACTTCAAAGGCAATAGATCATCTTAAGTATGTGGGACAGTACTGTGATGCAGAACAGGACAGAGAACAAGATAAAAGTGGAAGATAAAAAACATGAGGTGGAGAATATGAACAGGGAAATTTAAGGAAGTACAAAGACTGATGAAAAGACAGGACTGAATAAGTTATCCAGACAGATTAAAAGGATTTGATGTGTAGCTTAGAAATGCGGAAAGGGAACCCATGATCTGTAGGATGGAATTAAGTCAGTCATGCCATAAGGAAGACAGATGCAGCACCCCAACAGAGACTGTGGTGTCTGTACTTACGCCTGCACAGCACAAGGCCAGGAGAGAGGTTTTGCTGCCGGGCTTTGGAGGAGCTCTATCACCCCATTTGCTACTTGAGATTACATCCCACCCATTTATTCTTCTGCAGGGAAGACCCTTTACCCACAGAGATCTCTTTAGCAGCTCTTTGCTAAACCTGGTTTGTATTCACTGTTGTACAGGATATAATGGAAATGCAGTCTTTTTCTCGGCAGGTGACAGGTCTCCTAACAGTCTAGAATCCTACCTTAAAAGAAGTGTTATGTCAAGTCATGCTGTAGCATGCTCCCTGCTGCTTCACTCAGGACCTAGGATGGACACAGCAGCTTTGGGTCATCAGCTGCCTGCAGCAGACCTGTCCCTAAGTTCAGTGCTGCCGCCGCGCTTGCCTCTACCTTCATGGCCCCACTCACCACATCGAGGGGAGAGGGGATGCAATTGCTAAGGTGCAATCCCAGTGATGGTATGTGAGTCAGACACCAAATGAGTAAGTCTTACACTTCATGCACGAGATTTGGCAGTTCTGAGCTTATAATCAAAACAGGAAAGCAGAGCTACAGCTGAAGAGAGATGCAGTTCTCAATGACTTTTATTTGCATTCTGCAATGATGATGCGATGATCCATTTTGGATAACGGCTCATAGTTGTGAGTCTGCAAAAATAGCTGGGCCTTAAGGAAGTGAAGATGGATTGGGAGCCTGTCACTCTGGGGTGGAGAGGGAAAGTCCAAGCGATGACTCACAGGTCTTCCCTAACTTCTATTACTTTATTCTTATGGCAAGAAAGACAAAAGCTGATTATTACTGTTTATCATTATTGCGGCACTAGGTATGCATCAAAACGAAGATTTTTGTTGCTTTTGAGTAATGTAATTTTCCCCTCAGGAGGAGTTAAATGAGCTTAAAGACACCTTAGCAAACAAGTAATTTCATAATATATTTCACAAGGCATATTGGGTCATCTGAATCAAGTGTACCACCACCGCAATCCCATCAGCTGAATGTTACGGCATCCAAATATCTAACTTCTGGTGGCATAGAGAAACTGGGAAGGAGCAGTTCTGCCACTGCCAGCAGATCGGTCTTTGGCAAGACGTTTCACCTTTTCTCCATCTGTTTCACTTGCCCCCTTTGCCTTGTCTACTAAGACAATGGCGTTATCCAGCACGTACCGTATCGGAGCAGCAGCCCTGGTCGCATGCCTTACGAGCACACACAACTGCTATCACAGATTTTTACCTCGGTTGTCTGACACGTCACTGCTTCTCCTGCATACTCATGTATGCTTTGATAACAAATGATGGCAAAAGATGTTAAATCCCCCCAAAAAGTGCGTGTCACGCTGGGGTTAATGTTTTGTTCCTTCCCGTGTGAGAAGCCTCTAGAGGGCAATGCAGCATTGAGGTAACTTGGGTTTTCCATTGCTGTGCGGGCAGGCTGGGCTCTCCACACCGCTCCTCCAGTGCTCTGTAACTCAGGAGGCCTCAAAAGTTAGAGAAATAAATGAATTTGTCATCTGAGTACTGTGTGTGTGGTCTACATTATTTGAATATAGAATGATCCAAATGAGCTTTCAAGATCTAGAAAGAAATGCTGGAAGTGAACAGAAAATAAAGGTCCTGTAAATAAACTGGCAGAGCAAAGTGACCTTGAAGAGTGTAGCACGCTTCACATAAGAAACAGAAGATAACAGAAATATTCAGAGTCTTTGCTGGGAGTAAGAGAGTTGATGTAATAGGTTTTGCACATGACAAGAACAAAAATTCTGTTGCTTAGTTTGGAAATGAGAAGAGTTTGAGAACAAGTATAGGCTGACAAGACAAGCAGAATCACAGGAAGACCAAGTAAAGATGAGGCAAACACTGTGCCTAGCCAGGTGTCAGGGAAGAGGGCAGCCAGGGCAGAGGGGACTCTTGTGAAAGCAAAAGTAAGGTATTGAGAGAAGCCTCCTGAAAGAACGAGTGCAAAGCAGATCTGCCGTTTACTTACTATTGAAACTGGAGTGAGGAAGAAAGAACCATGCTCCAAACTGAGCTTCCCTTTTCATGTGTTTATATGGCATCAAATGCGTAAAGTCACAGTTGGAGCAAGATCACGTGCTGTTCCACTCATGGAGATCCTATTTCCATATACATTTCTCTAGACCCATTGAAGTTCATAATCATGTGTTATCAAATCACATATAAAGATCAAATCAAATCCCAGTATACGTAACCAAGAGCTGCAGCTAACTGTCCTCTAAAATATTTCCATGAGCATGATCCATGCTGCTTATAAAATCTATTTATCCAGGTGGTTTGTGCTTAGTAATAAATTAAAATGCTCTGTGAACAGATATGATAATGCTGGGATACTTTAGTCTGTCCCACAAGGTATACAATCTGAATAAGAAGATCCCAAAATGTCACAAAAATTTTCTCTCTTGGGAATAAAAGTATGGTAATTATCAAACACTGGTTCATGCCTACCTAAACATTTCTCTTTAAAATCTGGAAAAGAAAAATAGTTAGAAGTTAATAATAAAATAGTCACATTGTCTTTTTAAAGGAGATGAAGCATTGCTGGTTTATGATGTAAGATATACAACACTAAGCAGCTGAATTTCCAGAACTGCTAGTTCTGCAGTTGACCAGTTACACCCTTCAGAGAACAGAGAATTTTTATTAACCATGCTGGAGCTGCTGAGTAGAAAAAAAAAGGCCTGAAAATTGGAGAAGAATTCAGAAGCTGATGGAAATTTTGTATGTTCAGCAACTGTCAGGATTTGTGTTAAGAATAGCAAAGGTACTCACAAAATGTAGCAGATAACTCCTATACTCCACATATCTGTTTCATATCCAATAGGTTCATAGTTTATAACTTCTGGAGCCACAAACTCAGGTGTCCCAAAGAGAACTTTCAGAGAACCTGCATTTTCTGTGAAGAATGAAAGAGAAAACCATTAAGTGCTGCATGCAGATTTTTAAAAACAATTATGCCCCAGTAACAGGAAAGCCAGTTTTGCCCTTATATTTGTGATTTTGTTAAAGATCCTTATCAGAAATAAAAAGATGCCTGAACTGCTGTTTTCGTAGCTGATACACGTATAGCAATAAAGAATTATTTATTAAGCACCCTCACACAAACAGCACTGTATAAGGCACATAATAAGAAGGTTCCTATTGCAAGGAATTTCCACAAGACCAAGTCTAAGAAAGAGGAGAACTTTTAGTGTTTAATTCACATTTGAATGTCCTGAAGCACAGAAGTGTTTGAGCCTCCGTCACTTCAGCAGTCACACAAGAGGACTTCAGGATTCCAGTGTTATAGATAATTTGTGAAAACTTCAACTTCTTTCTAGGATTTATCAAAGCTCAGGGCTCTGCATTTTATGGCAAAGAGAAACAGCAGTGATAAAATTATACTAAGAAGAAAAAACTATTTTAATCCAACACATTTTTTCCAGTTTAGACAGGCAAGAAAATCAATACTGGGTTGCATGTCTCTGAAATTTGAAGTGGCACAGCTCAGTGGTGAAACAAGAAAAGAAGCAGATGATGTGCACCTGTCAGATCACCACCTTGTCAGTAAAACTGGGCTTGAGACAGCTCCCCAAACCAAGCTGGCCTACGAGTCTACCTGTGGAGCTCCAAAGTGGTGAAGGAGAACCACAAATGCTTAGTCATCAGTGGCCACTCCAAACTTTTATTCAGATAGCCTGTAGCACAGGCGTCCTACATTTGGCTCTGCCTAAACACAACGTGGATGCTTTTAAAATGATCTACAGCAAAGCTACTCCAAGTAATATGAGCTGAAAGAATGAGGTCACGGGACACATGAACTCGCTCTTCATCTTTCTTATGCTGATCTACCAGTATTGCTCTACTGGAAAATACAGTGATGAAGGTAGAATAATAACCTATACAGAACCTAGTATTGCCAGTTTATGCTACCAGTGTGCAATTATGAGTGATATGTCTTTTAGTCATAGTTTGAAACACAAGTCATTTAGATAGAAATTATTAGGCAAATCCCAATGGACTCGTTTTCATCAATGCTCATTCTAAATAGGATGGGAAGAAGAAAAGAAGCAAGGTCAGGAAGGAAGGAAACTAAGGAATAGATTAGGGACTGGGAGAAAAAAACAATCTTAGTAAAAAATTTGTATTACAGAAGTTTCAAAACGTAAGAAAATAAATTGTTTCTGACTTGAAACAGGCTTGGATTTAGGTTGAGAAACTCTTGTCCAGTCTGCACATGTGCCTGAGCAATCAGTATTTGCCTTAAGTGAGATTCACTGCATTACGTTTATCTTTTGTGCAAGAGTCGCATCCAGATTAGGCACAGTAGAGTGAAATAGTGAGGAATCATCCCTCTCCCAAAGAGATTAACATCTAAACAAAACAGATATGAATGGAAAGAAAAACAGATGTAACAGATTCCAATCCTGCTCCTGTTAAGGTTACCACAAGTACAGAGATTTGCAGCTCTACAATCAAGAGAAAAGCTTAAAAAACCTCAAACAACAGCAGATCAAAGTTTTGAGAAGACTACAACAGAAGCTACTTGTCCACAACTCTGAATCTTTACAGAATATTTTTATTCACCAGAACTTCCTCTGGTAAAACGCTGATCCTAGTACTGACTCCACACTTACAGTCACCTCCACCGCAAGCTGTTAAGACATTCCATAAAATGCAGTCATACACCTGAGTATTCATTTGAGGTATGCAAATCCCCAACTTACCAAATGAAAATTGAAGGATATATGAGGTTAAGAACTTGCCTAATGATTGAGCAGCATGCTGGAGGGAACTTTTAAGCACTACCACAGTAATTCATACACAGTCGTGCCAGTTTCCCATTTTAAATGCTGTGAAACCCTTTTTGCTCTGCTCAGGTATGGTGATAGTAAATAAATTGTGGAAACCTCATTTTCATGTTAACTCGTCCATTTCAGAGACCCACCCATGCAGAGAGTACCCGTTTCTAGAGACAGAAACAGACAGAACGCCTGGGAGCAGCCCCAGGAAATCACCTAGATCCTCCCATCCAAGTTCACCAATATCAAGACCTTCCTGCCAGATGTCTGACTACCCTTTAAAAAGCATATTCAAAAGCTATTCTGCAACATCCCTATACTCACATAACCAGAGTTTTCTTACTCCAAAAGGTAGGATCCTTTTCCTGATAGCCAGTCTAAACTGACTTAGCCTAAAACAAGGGCAATGTCTTCTCCACAGTGGCCATGAGGAGTGAAAGGTCACTCTTCCTTTTCCAAGCACAAATGGGAAGCCTAAGATCCCATCTTCCCATTTACCTTCTTTGTAAGGTCAACACCTACATTTTTTCCCAACTGTCCTTATGAAAAATTACTGAAATTTGTCACAAAGAATCTATTTTTCTAAAAGCTTCATCATGATCGTCCAAATCTCGGGCTCAGATTTTCACATCCAAGTTTGGACGCTGTTCTGTGCACTGTGTAAACTACCATGAGCCACTGTGTATGCAAGAGGCTGGTGTATGAAATGTGCTGCCCACAGGTCAGAGAAATGTTTTTTTGAAAACATGACACTTGAGTGCAAGCATACAGTGTGAAACAACTGATACAGCATTTTCTGTGTATAAAAGAAGAAAGAAAATAAAAGAATAAGACCTTTTCTATGCAATAATATGTCAAATCTTTACCCAGATGTTTACAAGCTTAGTACACAAGTAGGATCTGTGTTTGGATATCCCTTAGTTCAGATAGAAAGCTGACAAGCTAGCTGGAAACTGTTGCCAACACTGTGTATAATCAACTGATTAAAAAAAAAATCTTTACAGTACTTAAAAAACATTCTCTTTCCTCCTGAAGAAGTTTATCTTAAACAATTTTCTACATGTGTTCCTCAGCACACCAAAAAAGGTCAGGAAAATATCCCACTGCAGCTTTGGTATTTCCTGACAGTGTAAGAGAACTAATTAGCTGTAGAAGATGACTGCAGAATGAGTGGATCCTAATTTCTTATCAAAACTATTGAATATTTAGAGGCATAATTTTGCACCAGTTACAAAAAGTTAAAAGTAAATCTCAGAAGTCGAGTTGCAAAATCAGCCACTCTTCCCTTCAGCAGTCCCTTGGTTGAGCGATTTCTGCTCAGTCACGGTCAGGTCCATAGTATGAGGGCTCCAAACCCACATCTGTCAAAACCAAAGTGAATTTGACAGCCAATTTCAAAATCACAAGGCTTGAAGGAACACAAGAGGAGGAACGTGCCCTCAGTGCAGCACACCAGACAACTGGCAAGAAGAGGGAAATTAGTGAAAAGTGGTTTTAGCTATTTTTGAAAGTAAATGAAACAGTAAAAATTGTTTTCTGCTTTTGGAAAACGTCTCAGTCAAAACATTATGAACATCTTCATGATTAACATAGTGCTTTTGCTTTATGGGCATGGAACGGGAGGGCACTGTCTCTTCCTTGGGAAATGCCACACACATCGAGTTATCCAGAATGGCAGGCTGATGAAAGAAACAGCAAATATCTATAATGTAAGAATTACGCATCTATAATGCAAGAATTATCAACATATTAAGCCAAACAAATGTACAGTACTGTAAAATCAAAGTCAGTGTCAGTGCCCATGGCTCTCATCCTTCTACATCAAGAACAGCTGGATGTAGGTTGGAGAGTTACTACATACGGCATGACTGCAGCAGCTCACAAGCCAGGGTGAGCTGTGCTGTACACAGTGATGCCACAAGATTAACAGAAAAATGGAAAAGCTGGTGGATATGAACAGGCCACTGAAAATAGGATCTTCCTCTTGCTAAACGTGGGGTTAACTGTGGTTTGAACTTAAAAATGTAGTCGAAGAAATTTATGTAGAAAGAGCATTCTGTGGTTATATGGTGTCTCTTGTTGATGAAATTCACTCCAGCCTTAAATGTGTAGTTTTTAGGCCGACAGCTGGAAGGTCACGGGATGAAGTCTTTCACACACCTCTGATAACAAAAACTTCAGCACTAGAGCTTAACAGTTCATCTGCTTTCCCAATAAGAATAAAAAACAGGTCACGCTCCCAGAAAACTATTAGCTCCATACTGGTGAAGGAACATAAATGGCAGCGATTTCTTTTTTTAATGAATGAAATAAACACCTTATCTGTGAGTTCACAGTGTGCATGTGACCAGGATTCATGTAATATCCTTTTGGAGCTGAACATCCTCTACAAATCTGAAAAGCAGATTTCTTTTCTCCTATTCATTTTACATACCATTTTTGGTTTGTTTTAATGAAATAATATCCTTGAGTATGCAGCAGCCTGCTACTCAAGTGTCAAAAGAAGTAGGATGAGCAGCATGTAGGCAGATAGCAAAAACCAGGAGGTTGTAATTCCAAACTTTACTCTTACAAAAATAATTGTTCTGCTTTTTAATAAGTATTAAATATTTTTTTTAAAGAGGGAAGGCAAAAGATTACAACTAAGAATTTAGCTGTGGGCCACTTTCTATAGAGAGACTAGCAATTCATATCAGTAGCCTCAATTGATTTTAATGGCAGAAGGAAGAGCTTGTCAAACAGAACTTTTCTTTCCCCCCTCTAATCTCATTGTATTATTTTTAAGTAGTGCTATTATATTAACAATTTTGAACATGACAAAAACACAGCTCCTTATAAAATTCCTTCCATGTTTAGCATGTACAACAATATGCTGCTGTTTAGGATAAAAAACGATAAAACTAATAGGGAAGTGTAAATTTAATGCAATTCCATGTTTGAAAGTCTTTTAGAATATCATCTTCCCTCCTGCTGTTATAAAAATTTAAAGGATTTGCAGTATTCATGAAGATCAAGGTTTTGTTCTATTTTTTTTTTTTTTACAATCAGAGAGTGTTTTATGGCTTCCTGTAGTTTGTTAACATTACTAACTACTGTGTATTTTACCTCGTAGTCTGCAGGGATACTCTATCCATAGAAACAGATAGGTACCTTATATACATTTCACCGCAAACTCCTCTTGAACATGAGGTGTCCTACTCCCACTCTTGAATGTCTTATTTTCCCCTTTTCTACTTTTTCCTAAAACCAGAACTATTTATATGAAACATGTCTATTTACTCTCGATACATGAAAGAATGTAACAGTAGGGATGAATTACTGCCTGTCCTGCCCTTTTCCCCATATCATACTGAAATAGGCAGAAAAATCATTACCTAATCTCCTCGCAAGTCCAAAGTCAATGAGTTTGATACTTGTACCAGTCTTGTTGACACACATAATATTTTCTGGCTTCAAATCCAAGTGGACAATACCCTGCTTATGGATATACTGAACTCCTTCTGAAATCTGCTTCATATATTTAATGCACTCTCTCTCTGTCAGTTCAAAGTCTTCATCAATGATTCGTTCAAAGAGTTCTCCTCCAGAAACCCTATGAAAGACAGAATAAAAAGAGGACTTCTATAGCTTTTTCATTTTGGGAGTAATCAAACTATTTCATTTAACAAATACAGATAGTTCAAGCTTGCAATAGTCACTTCAGGACTCAATCTGTGTTTTGTAATGGCATTTTCCATATAAGGATCACATAGGAAGAATCACCTCTTATGTGTGGTATAAATCGATAGATTTTTCCATTTTGAATCTCTTTCCCAGGTTAGGACTGTGAAATATTTGCATTACTATCCCAGGCAGTGGAGATGTAGCTGGATTTACATCCTGCCTTAGATTTCAGCCACCTACAGCTGGCAGTAAGGCGTGTGCCATGTGATTGTCACCCCGCTGACATGTCTGTAACACCGCTCCAGACTCTGAGCTCATGTTTCTCACCGCTTCCTTCCCTCCTATGCTCCATCACTGCACAAGTGCAGATAACATAATTTAGAAAGAAAGAGAACTATAATACATGGGATGAGTCTCAGGAAAAGAGGACAAAACTTCTAGTAGATTAGCAAAAATTTGGGAAGAAGGGAGATTGAGAGTGAAAAACAAAGGCTGAAGAAGGAAGAATTCAAATGATATGGTTAATTGGAATGCAAAGCTCAAAGGGTAGATCACTGACACAAATGAGCTCCGAAGGAATTTCCTTCTTAGCTATGACAGGACAAGGATATAACCCACAACCCTTTCAGTGCTGGTATTTTTAGCTGAGCCATCATCACGCTCTTTGTAGGTCAATTCCATTTTTATGCTCATCTAAGATGTGAAATAACTGGTCTTTCCAGGGTAGAATCTCCTGGTTAGGACTGTTTGTGAAACTAAAGTGGGACATTCCTAACTTAGATTTAATAGAGCAAAATGTAAGTTGTGGTTTGGTTTGGTTTGGTTTGTTTTTTTAAAAAATTCTGAGTAATCACTCAACTGGCTTATCTGCTTACATCCAAAGATAGGAAATACTTCTTGTATGTGGTGGGTGAATAACCCATACAGAAAGGAGCAAATGGTGAAGAAAAGCTTTACTTTTAGAAATCTGTTCCAAATTAAATGCTCCATGCTCTTTATATGGCTTAATATTTTGCAGCATTCATGCCTATTGCCGAATGTAATTGCACATTTCAGTTACAGAAAGAAAACACGCAACTGAAAACTGGCCTTGCAGTGTTTGCAGGCTGTCAGATATATGATTATATCCCTCATGTACTAAACTGAAATTGAAACATCTGGAGTTCTGGACACATTTGTTGCTTTGGCTATAAGATTTCAGAAAATATATAATTAGAAATGCTACTGCCATTCCCTATTAACATGAAAATATCAAGAACAGCATATGCTTGACAAACAGAGAGGTTACATTGGATTATAGCACATTTGTAACATAAAGCAAATAATATGGCTAGAGCTGCTGAATAAACAGCTCTGGTAGGTTGGAGATCTAGTATTTTGTTACTTCAGTAAGACATTAACCAGTATAGAGGTGTTTATGAAATGCAAAATGGAGCACTCTGGAATTCCAAATGATAACCATCTTAATAATAAAAAGTATCTGGTATTTGACTGTTTAACACAGACAGTGATGACCTGTTTTTACTATAAAAGTGCCATATTTTTCAAATCTCTAAAGGAAAAATTTTCAGAAATCATACCATTGTCTCAAGCATCATTTTTTAGCACATTATTTGGAAATTAACTACTGTTAATTCATTTGTTTGCTGTTTTTACCCTGGGACTCCTAGACACTCTAGTTATATCATTAGATTGATTTGCAACTGCATTTATAGAATTTATGTTTTTACATTTATATTCTCAAACAAATCCAGTTTAATTTTTGCCAAGTTAGGAAGCTGATTAGGTTCTACGTATACACAGAAGGAGAAATCAGCTTTCTTCAGTCACAACTAGTTCAGAATCTAAATGTCTCATTCTTTTCTTGATTCTTCTCTTTTCAGTCTTCTCTAGATGAAGTCACAGAGGTCTATACAGTCATAGAATACACATTTAAAAAATACTTTATTATAAGATTTTGGTCATGGAGGAACGGCAAGAAGAATCTACCTTGGAGTTGCCCAGGCAAATACTTACTGCATTTTAATAAATCTCCCTTCAAACCAAAGAGAAAACCTTAGTGACTTGTGCCAACTTAAATCACAGCAAATGAATGGAAAAACACAGAGTTCACTAGTTCACTGCTGAAAATTTGCTTTAATAATCTTAATTTGCAATACAATAATCTTCTGATCTGCGTCAAAAGAAACTATCTGAAGGTTGTAAAAACTTTAAAGCACTTAGCTCCCAATGCTGAACATCATTCACAACATGCCACTATTTCTCAGATGTTCTTTTTCCACTGAGATGCTTATTGTGGAACAGGTACGTCACTATTTTTGGAAAGGAAATGTCTTGAGATTTGCCCCTGACTTCCAGTAAATGGCAGATGGGAGGGTTTTCAGATAAAAGCACATCAAATTATTTGAACTCTATAATATAGAGTTTGATTTTAAATTAATGATAAAATCTTCTAAATCTATTACAAATATGAAATCAAACCATATAAAACAGTGGCATGAAAAATATTAAAAGGAGAGAGGACAGAGTTCAAAAAGTTATAAGATATGGGAATAAAATTAAAATACAACGAATAAAAATATTTCAATATATCAGGCTGAATATCAGGAAGAAAAATCCAAAGGTGCTCCTCATCAATAGCTCTAATTGGAGTGGAGGAGGAGCTGCTAAATTCCAGTCACTGCTAAAATTTGGTTTAAAAGGAGACTGATGGTAGGTGAGCTTGATTTATTTGAAATCCACTCATTTAGACTCTGATGGGAATAAAGAGAACCACTTGGATACTAAGAATTTTTGAAGGTATTTCCCACAACTTCTTTGATATTGAAAGAAATATTAGTATAATGGCTAAACAAGAAACAATCCGTCAGTGACTCCCTAACAATACAGGTGCAGTTGCCATGCTGAGACCGTGTCACCTGGGTAACACGCGACCGTGTAGAGGGTACCAAGTCATCTGTCACGAAGGTGTCACGCAAGCATCGCGCTGCCCAGACCTGCTCCAGAGCAGGGACAGACTGCTACTGCCTGCCTGCGCGCTGCTTTACGAGCCCTTCCTCCTGCGGCTCTCCGCACTATGGAAATATCAGTGTGGGTGTTCAAAAGCCAGAAAAGGTGGCCACCCCAAACTAAAATGACATCCTAATTAGTTAACAAAACTACTTCAAATTTGATTGCACTTTTCTGTATTTTAAAAAAGTAAAACTCCCTTTGTTGGCAGGGGGAAACTAGCGGAGTGTAAAGCCATATGCTATTCAAAGCTCTTTATACATTTCCTTGTTTTCCATTAGGTCTGCCAGCTCCCAATTCCAAGCTAAGTAGGGCTCCCTTCCCTTCCCGTCATCAGCTTGCTCAACTGCTCAATCTAAAAATAGAAACACCTTCTTGCACATAAGTACCAAGGTTGTATAACTGAGATGCGGACTCTGGAACGCGCTAGTGCAATAGTAGTTTGCACACAATCCAGGCAAGTGCTGAGCCAGCAAAATAGACGTACAGTCTCTTTGGCTTCTGACAATTTTTGTCTTATTCAGCACTTCCAGACGGCCAAAAACCTGCTTGTCCTTCTTGCAGCAGACAACGCATGAAGTAGATGTGGCAGCAGAACAGTGACTGATGTAACTTTTTAGGAAAAACATCAGCACAGATCAGGATTTCATTTTCTTTCCAGCTGCTACTGCCACAAGTACAGGATTCACACTAAGCAGGTGCGTTATGGATGATGCAAACATTGGTCACGTTGGTCATTGTTGGTTTTGAAGTCTGACCATTACTTTCCATCCCATGCTGTGCAGATTCATTTCTTATAATGAATTCTGTTGCATGAACATTTAAGAGAGATATTGAGCTCCTGGAGCGAGTCCAAAGAAGGGCGACTAAACTGGTCAAGGGGCTGGAAAATAAAACTTATGAGGAGCGGCTGAGGGAGTTGGGGCTGTTTAGCCTGGAGAAGAGGAGGCTGAGGGGAGACCTGATTACGGCCTATAAATACTTGAGAAAAGATGGTGGGGAGTTAGGGGAAGGGCTCTTTACATTAGTGATGGGTGATAGAACAAGAGGAAATGGGCATAAGCTTAGTCAGGGGAGATTCAGGTTGGATGTTAGGAAGTATTTCTTCTCTGAAAGGGTTGTCAGCCACTGGAATAAGCTGCCCAGGGAGGTGGTTGAGTCCCCATCCCTGGATGTGTTTAAGAATAGGGTGGATGAGCTACTTGAGGATATGGTTTAATGGGGATTAGGGATGGTTGGACTCGATGATCTCTAAGGTCTTTTCCAACCTAGAAATCTATGAAATCTATGAAAACATGTTCTGAACTTTCTTTTTTCTGGAAGTAAAAATCTGCTGTCTTTGAGTACAAAGATACCCAAGTCACAGGCCTGTGAGACACTTTACAACACTGCTTTTGGCGTGGTCTTCTGTTGCTGCCCACAGTGGTGTGGCATAAGTAGCTCAAGGCAAACCATTTCTGCGAGGTAAAAATGAGCATTGCTGTCTTACTCAGCAAGAACAAGACAGCAACATAGGTTGTATTCAAATTCAGCTTTACTTAATTGGATAGCTTTGGATGAAGAGTGCAATGACTTCTCTTCTACAACTGCTACACCCGGACCATCATGGAGAATCCGTTTATTGACATTAGGGGCAGATAACTCATGCTTAATTATTTTTTGGGGGGAAACAGTCAGTGTAACCAATCTTTCTGCATCTACTGATCTAGATTTAGAACATTCACTGTGTTCACCTGCGGAGGTATTTTAGACAGCATTCCCTTATTATAAATAAATGTTTTGCAATCGGAGTATTTGTGTTGTTGCAGGAAAAACACACCAGACTAATCCTTTTAAGGTCTCTTAAAAATTTAAAAACTGGATATAGCACTTGATGAAAACTAAAGTGTTCCCAGTACCTCTTGGGTCCTATAAATTTGCATGGTAAGAATCGCCTAAAGAAAAAAATATTTTTTCTCCTCCTTAAACATGTTTTTAGTTCTAAATGCAAGCCTAAATTGCAGCTAACTTTTTTCTGTCTCCTCCCAAGTCGCCAATAAAAGAGTGAGCTGCAGAAAAACAGCACATGCAGTTGATTAAAAAACAAACTAGGCAAGAAAAACTGTAACACGTCTTCACTGATTTTTAAGAGATAGAACACAGATTCACTTACACAATTTAAACAAGTTGGATAAATAATTGGAAAAACTTGCAAGATGTGAAAACCATCCAGGTCCTGCAGATTCTGAAGCTTTTGACAGTCCTATGTCTGGGTAAGTTGCTACTTCTGTATGCACAATTATTTTCAACATTATTAGCTTTGTTAGCGTGATCTGCTCTATACTTACATTTCCAAGACCATAACGATGTTGGCTTTTTCTTCAAAGGCATCTACACATTGGACAAGTTTCGGATGATGTAGACAGTTCATGATGCTGATTTCATCCCTTATGTTTTCTTTTTCCTTAGCAGAATATGCTTTGAAAAATTTTCCTGCCCAAACTTTTCCAGTCTTCTTTTCAACAAGCCTAAAGACTTGTCCAAATTTCCCCCTGAAAATATATAACTATTTCCATAAAATGTTTTTATAATGTATGGGCCACCATGAATAGCAACATTTTACTAAATATTCCAGTGCAACCACTCCATTCTGAAATAAAAATGTCTCCATATCATGTACTGTTCTGTACCGATTTTGTGCAGAGTAATCTGCAAAAACTTCTGAACGAGTACCACATTTAGAGAAACCCCACTATTCCAATTAGCAAGTTTTATATGAGGGTTAAAAAAATGGATTCCTACCAGGTTTTAATTTTTGTGACTCACGTTTTTCTGCGCACAGTTTTCTATAGGTTATACGCCTCTGAAGGGGCAGCAGATAGGAAATATCTCAGGTATAGGATATAGGTGAAATCCGAATCTGAATGCTGGAGGCTTCAGTACTATTATTTCACATTGCTGTACATGTGCAGTTCTGCCTCGACAATACACTTACCAATATCTGTTAATGGCAGCACACAGCATCCCCTGGCCTTCAGCACCACCAGCAGCACAAATTGCTGAAAGATTATCATGGCATGCAATTCCCACAACCATGAGATTGAGCGCTGAGAAACACAGCCAGGCTAATCCCTGACCTTCACGGAGTAACACTATTAATGCTCTTGGGATTACGACCGCTGTCAACAGAGATTCTAGCCCATGGGCAGGATAATCTTATTACCACTAATGGATATAATGGAAATGTTAGTACACAATGTGTACCTTTTTTTTTCAGCTGGCTTTTAGAACACTGAACAATGAATGAATCCTCTAGCTTTATTCATTTGTGAGCTCCATTTTCCTTGCCAGAAATGCATGTAGGGCCTACTTAAAATTATCAATTAATAGAAATAAAGGATCTTTATAGAGTGGAGGCCAACATATGTTAAAACCTATTTTTACTGCAACAAAGGAGCCCAGCTGGAATGTTGAAAGTGCGAGACACCGTCAGAGAGTGAATGCCCATGATAATTGACTGTTAGCCTTGAAAACTCAAAAGCACCATATAGTACTTACGATCCCAGTCTTTCTTCAATATTATAGACATCTGAAACTTTTTGTTCGGTGTTGATAGTAACCGTCCGATAGTCAACCTCTGTTTCTTTCCCTTCTACAAATAAATATTAAGGACCATGATTTAAACCTCCATAAGACATGAGTTAAAACACAGCTTTGCACTTGTCCTGATTAAAATATGAACTTCTTACCATCGTCAGATAGCTCCACTTCATCCTCCTTAAGTTCTACGACAAAAATAAAAAGAAATAAAAAGACATGAATAATTTACTATATAGGATATGGTACTTACATAAGATAGTCAAATTATTCACAGTAACATGGGCAACTATCAGACTCTATGGCTAAACAGCAAAAAGCAGTCAGGGAGTTTGTGCATTAACTTCATGATTAAAACCTCTTTACCACTTCTACGTAACTATTGATTACACAATCACAATCTGGTCACCATTTCTTAATAAAACAAGTTCATATGATTTGCAGTACTTGTCTATTTTACCTGCCTACTAGGAACATCAGCATACTGAATCAGTTCAAAGTCACCTAATAAATAGCTTTAGGAATGCATTAGTGAAATAGAAAATAAATTAAAAATACTAAAATCAATAGCACCACTTCTGGTTCAATGACAAATCCTTTTCTGGCTTTTTCGGGGATTGCAAAGCCAAAAGTAAAGCAAGTTTAGATGTGAAAAGACTTCCTGCAAAGCATCCAGACAAATTTTTCAGACTCAAGATGACTGGAAAATTTGGACATAATGCACTTTCCTGAGCATGGCTGAATTTTGAAATCATTGAGGTCCAAAAGGAGCCTCAGTTCTGCAGGCATATGTAGAGGCAGGCAGGGACGTTGGCACGCCCAGTGACATAAGATAGAGCAAAAGCTGCCCTGAGTGTCTTGATTTTAATTTTTAATTTTCATGTGCAGCAACTGTCAGTAGCACCGGTTTGTGTGTTGTTCCCTATGTTGCCTGCAGGTATGAGGGGAAAGGGGTTGTAGCTGGAATGTTGTTATATATTACTTACACTGCTTGGGCTAAGAGCTGTGGCTATGACCAGTAATTTGAGAAACTGCAAAGGCAGTTGCACAGTGACCTGTACAATTGCCCCTTTAGCTGCTGAAGCTGCACTTTGCCATTAGAGTACAAGCGTAACCAAGTGGTTTATCCCCACTGCATCAACAGATTTATGTTATGAAACTTTAACGCGGTACTCTGGACGCTGTTAGGTGCTTTAGAGTATAGAGTTATATGCAGTGGGCGAGAAGAAAACGACAGTACAAAAGAATGCAGGGTGAGCGGACAGCGGGTCTGACGCACGGGCATCACCTTTTCACATCCAACACCTCATGCTGCATCTGTATTCTGGTAGCAAAGCCAATCAAGTAGATATAATCTGTTACTAAAGCCCTTCTTTCTGTTTTCTGGATTTGCATTGCTTGTCTGTCCCAGCACAGACTAGCTGGCTTGCAGCGATTTACCAGAAGAGCAGGCAGGGAAGCGAGCCCTCCCTACGCAGGGGTAGCTGTCCTCAGATCTTCCTCAGCTAGAAAACACACTTGCACAGAGCACATCACATTTTCCTCCCCTTTTAAGGGCTGCATAAGGGAGCTGATCCCAACCACCCTGCCAGTAGTTAACGTCTGCCAAAAACTGATTAGACAAAGAAGTCAGTTCCCAGTTCTGCAGCGACACTGTATTGAAGATATGAACTAGAAACATTTTGGTCCACCAGTAGAAGCCTAAATTAGATAAACAGAACATATCTGAGCTTGGTAAGCACTGAGTAGCTGCGTTAATATCTTTCTCAGAACTGAGTCAACAGTACCAAATTTTCCTCTAACATGGCAATGCTGACTTTAATCTGTTGTGACTTACAACCTTATTTTAGTAGCTCTTTTCTTTAAATGCACAGTGAAAAGTTAGCCATGCCTTTCTTCACTGAGATTACATTGAGATTGCTAATATGCACTGGCCACCTCGGTATGAAAATCAGTGATCAGTCTTTCTGGCAGCAGCGGAAAATCCCTAGTTACTCAGTTAAGTGTTTACATGGATGGTAGCCTAAAGTCCTGATATTGAGAGGTGCTGAACACATGCATTTTCCACTGCCTTTAATTAAAGCAACAGTTATATTTGCACACTTGAAAAATCATGCTTTATATGACTTGCCCTTTGTCCACGCTAGCTGCAGTATGAAGAATTGAAATCAAGAAGCCCTGGCACTGAGACCACCAAGACAATCCACCCTTCTGCAAACACAATATATTTTCTTTTCACGTAAAACAATTTTTGTTAATTGTCTTTTATATGCGTTACAATGATTCATATGCTTTCTAGACTTTTTGTATGAAATCTATGTAAGAATACTCTCAGTCTTAAAAAGAACAGCTTGTTTGCTTTGGTCCAGTACAAGTAGTGCTTGCTCTAGGAAAAACAAATGTAGGAAAGAGTCAGGTCCCCAACTCGAGAAGGTGTTCGTCCTGCAACTAAAGAAATGCATTTGAACACAGAATTTTATTATAAAGAGCCAATATCATCTAGCTTCCTTTTAATGTCTAATGTATTCCCCCCCCTTTGAAGAGAAGCTGCATCTTGATTTAGATCAGGTTTTAAATCTTTAAGATACAGGAATGAAATTTCTCAGAATGCATCCAATTTAGCTCTTGAAAAGAAATATGATTTACTTTTGTTTGGAAGTGTCTGTTGAGAGACTTACTCAGTTGTGTGATGCTGCACCACTTTGCTATCATTTTGTCTTGCTGTGGCAATAAAAGATAACATCCCAAGGATTATGTGAGACACTTAAAACTCCAAAGCCCTGCATATATAAGTAAGGAGGGAGAAATACAACACACGGTCCATTCCTCAAAGACAGAGAAAAATGGCAAAATACATTATTCCTTGTCTGGGCTGTTCAGTGAGGTAGGACAATCAGTGTGGTCCTTGCCCAGGAGGTAAATATGGGTGTGCACAAAAATATGCATTCAATATCTGTTTTTAAAAAATAATGCTGATTTTTGTGTGTGTTTAAAATTTTGGTACCAGTTTCTGAATAATTTCTGAAACACTTCAGCTTTTCCCGTTAGTCCTTTGGGAAGATCTTAAGCAAAAAATAAGAGGCAAAAGATACTGAAAAATATTTTTAAAAGTATGTGCAACCATAATCAAAAACCCTGAAAAATATTTTTAGCACCCATAATACTGCAAAACCAACATGCTAAGTGGGATAGCCTTGAATCCACAAGACTGGTGTCCTAGAGGCAACAGGAGTGAGGTGCTCTACCATGCTGGGATTTGAAGCACAGGAACTGCAACTAGGTATGAGAGGCTAATTCAGTTTCTGCTGCACGTTCAGTGCTTGGCTAGCAGCAAGCACATTTACTTTTTCTAAAAGCAAATTTGGGATAGTGTTTACGGCTTGTTTTTCCATGGTGTGTCCAGTATAAACTGTAATAATGCCTCAGTATGTTTCAGGTAAGCCACCAAACATCATTTTCCAACTAGGCACCGTCTGAATGTGTAAGTTCTGTGTGCAAGGTTTCATCTCCCATCACCTGTGCACTCAACTACAGAAGTCTGTCAGCCAGCACTCGCACTTCAAGCCAGAAATATTGGTTGCTTTCACAAGGCAGGGTTTTGAGATCCCTGAAGCCAAGTTTCCACACTGGATGCATGCAAAACTTACATGCTCAGACACCCACGTGAAGTCTGTGAAGGGATTTCAGCACACTTACAGCCAGCATAAGCATTCACTGCACAGAGGCACACGCAAAGGCGTGTGTACAGCTGCCTGATCTCACTTGGGAACTGTTAAGATATTGTTTAATTGAATTTAGATTTATTTTTTTTTTGTCTTATAAACTAACCTTCTTGTTTCTCTCCAACTTTTACCAGCTCGGATTCTTGACTGGGCTCGCTGATGCCATACACGTTAGCAGCTCGCACACGGAATTTGTACTCCCGGTCAGCCTGGAGGTCCTGCACATTGAAAGAGGTGCTGCGGCAGGTCGTGAGATCTGTCCATTTGTTATCCACTGAGTTCCAAATCTCCACAGTGTAGGACTGCACCGCACTTCCACCATCATAAGAGGAGCCATACCATGACAGAGTGAGGGAGGAACTCCGTATGTCTGATGCGCAAGGTGTTCCGGCAGGTGGGTCTGGTTTATCTGCAAAAACATATGCAAAGCACATTAGATGAAATCATGAGGGTAAGAGGCAGGACTTCCATACTGGCCCTACCTAACAGCCTTTTTCTTTCCATGCCATTGCTCTGCTTCAGAGGTTTGTACCACAGGGAGGAGAAACAACTGCAGCACAAACAGACATACCTGAATTAGCTAATGTAGATACCAGTCCCACATGGGCCTCGGCATGGGTTGTTCAGTTTCCTGGGCATCTTGCTAAGCCATGCTGAAGCCTAATGCCCATCACAACTATGGAGATTAAAACCAGTCACAGCTATGCCTGCAAGTACTGAAATCAAATCTCCCACAACAGTGCAAAGCACTCCTTGGTGAACTTGCTTAGAGGTTTACCCCTGTAACAGTCACTATAGCTGTGATACTCTTTCTCTAGCTCCACTCATCTGCTTCCATACTTCAGGGCCACTACTAACCTTTCACAGCCTCAGAATGTGCCACTTATCCAACTATACCTGCGTAGGAGAGATACCAAAACCAGTTTGTTGGCACAGAAACACAGATCTGGAAGGGTGACAACTTTGTCTGCTAACAATTTAGTGAACAATGTCACCTATGTGCAGTTTTTGAAAGCTTAGTGCACTTTTTGGTAAAAAGGAATTAAACTTAGAATACATCATTTAAATACTGAGATTTTTTTAATCACATATGCATTTTGGAAATTGTTGGGGATGTGGAAGATAGAAACTTCTAACTATTTTTCCTCAGTTAGAGGCTTGCTCCTACCGCCCTTATTTGCATGAATAGAGCCAATATCACCAGAACCTGGGCGCAGACGAGCGACGAGCTACGCAGACGTCTGACGCAATACAAAAACCTTCCAGTTATACGACTTTTTCAAATTGAAGTTTAATGATTACACAGTTATTGAAATTAATGTTTTCCTAAGACAAAAAAAAAGTTGACTTTTAAAAAAATTACAGATCAAGAAAATAACTATGGAAGTTAAGCACTTCACAAGACTTTAATGGGAACAATATCTTCCTTCGGAATAGTCCTCTCAGAAGTAATCTAGCAAAACCTACAAAATAATGATGACATTGATCTGGATGAACTAGGGGCCAAAGGTTGAATGAGAAATCAAAGAATGGAATAAAATGATAGAAGATGAAAAGAAAAACATAGAAAATGTGAGATGCTACAAACAGTGGTTACACTGGACATGGACTGATAAAATCCTGTCCCATTTTGCTGGTTAAAGCTGCTAATGGACATTATCACTTTGTCTTTAAGAAAGGCAGAGATGCCAAACCAGTCAAAAAATACAGCCAGTTTCTCCGCAATAAAAACATCCAAGTGCTGGGGAAAACTGCTGTTGATTTTGATCAAAGCCTTGCTGTGGTAGTCTGTATCAGTTATCCCTCCACACTCAAATTATCATTCATAGGAAAATCACTGAACAGACAGAAATAGCCAGTTTGCCATAAACATGCCTTTAGTTCTTGGACAGAGGGACTTCTCTGACTGCTGAGGTTTTACTTACAGAGAGGGAAAATGGAGCAGTCTGATCAGATCAAGACACTTAGATATCAGTTCACTATTTAGAAGGGTGCAAGTTCCATTGACCATGGTTTCCTTGAAAAAACTTTTAAAATTCCTTTTAGTTCAGTTGTGATGCAAAATCCATCTCCCTGCACAACTTCACCATATTAGAATATATATAAATAGAACTTTTAAGTATGATGGAAAAGACTGGGAAGGAGGAAGGGAGATGGTCACCAAGGGTTTGCTGCTGCATTCAGCATGAGAATGCCCAGGCGGAAGAAAAAGAGACTGCCAGAACGTAGGTTATCTTTATTCATTTTGGCAACACTTAAACCACCATTCCACTAGGAGTCATCGTTATACAGTACATCTCTTGTTAGAAAAATCAGGGACCAGATGTCCTTACCTCTGGAACCACTTATTGCCCTGCATAGTTGTCACATTTTACTCGCCTCATTTTCTCACAGAATAAAAGGGACTATTTAAACAAGCATGAATTTGTAGTGTAGCTATAATGAACTGAGTCAAAGAGAGGTTAAATAATTTCTCCAAGATTAGAAAGAGAGACTGTAGCAAAGATGAGAACTGAATCTTGATCTCCTGGTGCCCAAACAGCAGCACCACTCTTCCCTGTACTAGTCCTACCCCAGCCTCCTTGGAGCTGCAAGAAGTGTGAATTCAACACTCACACTGTTCGCAGTAACAGAACCCTTGTATAGTACTACAGCAGCCACCAGAGAGCTGGTTGTGTGGCACACCTGGACAGTAAGATTTTAATCAAACAGCAGTGCTAGCCATCTGCTTGTCACTACAGCTTATTATCTGTGCAGACCTTGTAGGGAATGACACTACCTCTGTGCTCTTCAAAATCTGTGCAGAAGAATATTCAGCTATGTGTCTTGTTTTTCTCCTATATAATCATTGCATCACCTCGAGATGCAGATAGAACTTGGATAAGTAACAGCTGACTTATCCTAAATCCAAACAGAACGGAGCAGTTGCTGATAGCAAGAGGAAAATACTTTGAAGAAAAAGCTAAGCTAGTAGCCTATCACCTTACAGAGGTATCTGTTTGAGTTTGTCAAAGTAGTGCAGATTCTCTGACATCTGCGGTGCACACAGATAAACGTGGCCGGTATGTGTTTGGGTTTTTGTTTGTTTTTTTTTTTAAAGTGTTAGCTTGCTCTAATGGTCTGCACTGAATTTTACATTGAAGCAGGAAAGAACACGTATGCTTCAGTCTTTGCAGAGCACAGTAGCCTGCTTCCCATGCAGGACATGAAAATACAGTCTCTCTTTGCTGACTTTCAACACACTTCACTTTCCAAATGAAGCTCTGGGCATGATTTATCAGTTGCCTAGGCCACGGTTACCTTAGGGACCTCTCTTTCCATGACTCACCTAGATAACTGCGATCCATTTGACCAGCACAGTTTACAGAAGCAAAGCTCAGGTATGTGAGCATTGGAGAGAAAACATTCATGGCCAAGGGGACATCAGCAGTAAAGAAAATGCTACATGGCTTAATTCTAATATCTGAAAGCCCTGGGATTATTTCTACTTTCCTAATAAATTCTTCCCAGTGGGCAAAGATGAAAACCTGCAACCCCGGCTGGACTGTCTTGAGCCAAAAAGATGCACGTCTTTCTTTGAAGTCTACCGTGTGCTGCTCCTTGCAGATCTGCTCAATGTATAAATACTAGGGTAGTAGCTGCTATGGGATACCATAAACAAGAACAAGAGTCTAATCTTTGCTCTTTCTTAATATGACAGATGTATATGTACCATTTTACCATGCTTAAAAATTATTTGATATCAGACTGGATGGTATTCTACAGCTCTGCACGTTCAAAGAATTTGCAGATGGTCTCTCCATGTGTCTGTTTTGTTTCTCAACAGTTTATCCTATGGGGATTTTAAAGGTTACCCTTTATTCATCTGTCTGTACTGAAAGCAAGGACATTTTGCCAAACTACATTCCCTTCTGAAATATGAAATCTCTATCAGCGCAATTAACTGCTTCCAATAAAAACATCCAGTGGGTTGAGGACGGGTGTGGAAGTCAAGAACAACTATTTGTCCTTCTGTTTTACTGTTTAGTATATACCATTAATGTCCTTGAGCTGCCCATCTTCAATATTTCATTTGCATGTCATGTGCAGTCTTTTACACACACAAACGTACTTCATACTTAGGCTTATATTATGAGGGCTTTACACAGGCTTCCCTGGACCACAGTTTTGCTTTTCCTATTCTGGACCAAACCATAGCCACAAGCCAACATGTGAACTAAAAGGAAGGGAGTGCATCCAAAAATACACCGCTCCTTGTGAACATAGGGGAAGCAACTAATTTAAAATATCAAGCTCTAACTTCAATTTCACTATTACATGCAACAAAAGAAAACGTGTGTATTTACCACCATAAGATGTCTTGACTATATGGAACTAGGGGTAGGTACTCCAGTTTTGGCTAACTTACAGCATGCATATAACACCAAAATCAAGACTTTATGGTATTCTAGATTGTCACAGTCAAACTGGCTGTATCCACACAGTCATGCTGAACTTGGTCAGAATCTTACAAACTTTGTAGCAGATAGTACTTACACCTCTTTTACTAGGATCACCTCATTTGCCTAATAGTATGACTGCAGAGGCTAACAAGATAGTTGTAGGCTGGACAGTTAAATGCTAAGGGGGACTCAAGCACAAAGCTCCCTATGTAATCTCTTTAGGAATATCAGGAGGGTTGCCCCAACCTGGCTCCCCAAGCTTTGTGGCAGGCAAAGGAGATGGACAGCAGCTAATCTGGCCTCAGGGACTGTTGTTCACAGCAGCACAGAGACTGCATAAAGTCGCTGACACTAGTGGCACAGAGGAAACTCAGTAGCAACTCACACATGCTATATGCCGTGAAAGATGAGTAAGAGGGGAGTGGAGGTGATATGAAGGAGGGCACTACTGCTTTCCTCTCTTTGTGCTCCAGCAAACTGGGCACAGATTAAAAAAAAAAAAATCTACTTCCCAACGAAGAGAGATGTAAATTACCACTACCTCAGAGCAAGAAGGTCAGATTCCAGTTTATTCTTTGTGGTATGCGTTCCTTAGGGCAGACAGTAAGGTCACGAGCTGGCCTCATATGAAATGTATAAGCCACATTTAAGACCATACCAGGATCGAAATGTGCATTTCTTATTTACTCTCAAATTGAATTCAGCTGCACTCCTTCCTCAGACAAATTCTCAGAAATATTTTGGTAAACAGCCTGGAGTAACCTTTAATTAATGTGTATTTGGACACTCTGAGAAGCAGAAAGCATAAGCATGCTCAGCCTTTAAATCACTGCTATTTATGAGACAAATTTGACTTGAGGTCCTTGACTTTTTTGTCAGTGGTGTGTAACCCAAAATTCCGCCTGATAAGGAAAGGGACTTTCTCTCTTTCTGCATAGGTGGCGAACCTACAGCTCATACAGGACAC